ACTAGTTAAATTCACTAACCCAATCAGCTAACAACTATTTAACAAACAACCCCATAGTTTAATTTGGAGAGGTTATGGCAAAAATAGGAATTGAAACCAGCCTGCACCAAAAGAAATTAGGAAGAAAACATTTACGATCATTTTAAATTTACAATGTTTAGGATGTTAGACAATAACATGGCTAACATCAATTAAAGTAACGCGGAACCTGACCACGTAATAGCAGAAGTTTCAGGATCCACTAGTGGAAATTATTGAATTTCCGACCACTTGAAAGTGATCTTGAATCAAGTTGAAAGCAAAATGTGGTCGGGAATAGCAACAGGGGTTTTTCCGGATATCAAAAGTGGTCGGAACAAGGCTTTCGACTTGATTTAAGATCACTTTCAGGTGGTCGGAAATTTCAGAATTTCCAGTAGTGATCATCAAAATATCCCTTGCCATGGTCGTTTGTATTGTCACGCGATGGTAAACCTGCAGAATAAAGGTATTGTTTTGTCTACCACTTCTCTCTCGAATATTTGATGGAGCATGTAATCTAAACACGGGAGTTGTGGGAGGACACTTTTGCTTAGAAGCTTACATGCCATTAATATTGACAGATATTCAGTTCCTCAACAGATTAAATCACTAACTGACTTAATCTTCTACTTGCACCACAGCCACTTAATTAATACAATATATTATCATATATTATATTAGGGAAAAAACTTACATAGGACACAGGTGTGTGGACCACGGTCCAAAACGACGTAATTTGATGTTTAAAAAATTAATTGTTTTACGCGCGTGTATGAATAATGAACATTCCGGGATAAGATAGAGTTAGAATAATGTACTTTATATGTTAGAATAATGAAATTTCTGTGGTAAAATAATGTATTTTATGAGTTAAAACAATGTATTTTATGTGTTAGAATAATGAAATTTTATAACTTAGAATAAGGTACAATGTACTTTACGTGTTAGAATAATAAATTTTTTGAGGTTAGATAATATATTTTCTGAGTTAGAATAATGTCCTTTTTGTATTAGAATAATGTAATTTATATATTTTTTGGACCATAATTCACACTGCACAGTTGTGTGGACCACGGTCCACGCAATAATGACTCTAATGTTTAACAATGTATCTACAATTTAAGTCCCAATTTAAATGTCACATCTACATATATTTGTATCACAAGATAATCACTTAAGATTGTTATTTTAGTTAAAATTTCCAATATGATATGTTCGACATATTGTATTATGTACCCTACAATTAAAGCCCCTATCACACCCAACGTAACCCTTTAGAATATGAAGATTAATTTTTTTTTTTTTTATAAATAATCAAGAAAGGTTTTTTGAAGCTGTGGCAGCACTACTTGAAGAGTTGAAGTAGCATTCATGGACGAAGACATCAAAGAACAAAAGACAACATCTTATCACTTTTTGGGATTTGCAAGTCGCAGAAACCCAACCAAGCTAGTTTAACTAGCTTGACAGTATAATTGACAACATTTTTTGGTAAGGAAGCAGATGCTTGATTGCATGTGGACGGTTCAGATCGATAAGCTGGATTTATTGAACAAAGACAACAACCACTGCACCATTAGACAACAGCCACCATTTTATTCATTTAGTTATTTGAAGATAATTGAAATGGAATGGGAATCAATTTGTTAGACCCTTGTCTGAACCAAAATGGAATGGGAATCAATTTGTTAACCGCTTTTTATCTGAGATGATTAAGTCTTTATTACATTGATCCACTTCTCTCTGATCTCATCAAATTACTTACTGGCAGTAACGGGAAGGGTACGAGAGTTGTGCGAGGAAGAGAAGAAACATATTGATTGAAGCTCTGAGATTATCGATACTGTCAAATGAAGAAGACAAAAGCACTAAATACAAGGGGGAGGGAAAATCAGTTATAAGTAACTGAGGTAGCCAATTACACTAATGCCCCCACTTCTCGCAGTCTCTGTTAAGTGTGTAAGTGTGTTGTTTGGGAATCTTAAGTTTGGTACATGTTAGAAGTTGGAAGAAGATCGATAAGGGAGGAACGGATCGGATGATGCACATACAAGCGACCATAATTCTCATTTCCTTCCATTCTTGCCCCATATATATATACTAGTTTTGGATTGGGATAATGTCCAATGTTTTTTTTTTTTTTTTTTTTTTTTTTTTTTTATAAAATAAGTACTTTAAAGTATATCAAAGCAAGATTATATTGAAATTGTTCATGCATAGATAATTGAATGTAAAATTTTCGTATTTAAATAGGCAATTCTAAGTTTACAAATGCAAGATAATATAGTCAAGATTGATTATAATTGTCAATAAAATAATTGTATAGGTATGGTTGAAACCAAATACGGGACATACGGGAGAGAAAATAAAAATTAGGGCATAAAATATTAAATATATACTAATATTGAAGAGCTAACTGCAGATTGCCAAACAAGGACATTGCGAGAGAGTTTCTCACTTCAATTTGTTGTGTGATTTGAATACACTTTTTTCAATAAATCTCCCAAATAGTTAATATGATTGACTTAATTATATTTTTTTATTTTTTTATTTTTTTAAAACAATTATTATTATTATTATTATAATAATAATAATAATTATTATTATTAATATTATTATTATTATTATTATTATAATATATGTATATCCTTAGGTCATTTTACGTGTTAATCTAAACAGCTAATTGTTTCAAATATCTTTTTACCAGCCATTGATATAATTCGCTTGTAAAATTCGCTAATATAATCCGCTTACACTCACCGCTAACTCCTGATTGTCAAACAAGGACATTGTGATGTAGTTTTCACTTCAATTTGTTGTGTGACTTGAATACTCTCTTTGTCAGCAAATCCCTCGAGTAGTTAATATGATTGGCTTTACTAATTATATTTTTAAAATTTTTTTTTTCATTGTATAAATAAAATACTTGTAAATAAATATATAGCATTATTTTGTATTATAACTTTGATATTTTAAAACATTGTATGGACAATGTAGCGAATATAATCAATTGATGCATTTGAATGTAAAGATTTTTTATATTGGAGAAAAATAAATACAATATAACTAATGAAATTATTTATCTTATTTAATTTATTTATAATGAATAAATTTTTTTTGAATAAAGACATTGTAGACACATAATTCTGAATTAAAGAAATGCATATGTATTATTTTTTGTTGTAGCTACTAAATTATTATTTTAATTTAATAAGAGTAGAATAGAGTACTAATTATGCCATCTTTGATTGGGATGAGGTTCGAACCTAAGACCTTTCTTAATGAAATCAATGAATAAGTTAACAGTGAACTAACAGAAATTAACGAAAAAGATAATATTTAACAGAAAAGTTAACGGATAATCATATTCATTAAGGATAAATTAGGAAATCTTAAGAAAAAATTAAAATCTGATCAATCTGAGCCATTCATTTGATTAAAAAATTTGACCATCATTTTTTTTACCCATTGTAGACTTAACTCTCTTGGGCTCTTATTAGTATAGTAGATAGAGAGAGTTGAATACAGGTGTGGTTGCGTCTTACCGTGCAGTCATTGCGATCGCACCAATAGTTAGCAAATATACATCATTAACGTTAGGAAATGCACAATAAAAAATGCACAAATTAGGTACGCATCACAAAAACACACCATTAGGTATGAATAAAAGTATCACATAGTGTTCGGAAATGCACCAATAAGGGTGAGAAGTTATATGTTGTATTTTTTTTTTTAGTGTGTTGTGTATATTTTGGTGTACTTTTGCATTTCATTATTGTGTATTTTCCTACACTATTTGTGTCTTTTGTTAACGACACTATTGGTGTATTCTACATACGGCCGCACGGGAGGGTGCGGCCGCATTTGAGCAATTTCTATATATATATATATATATATATATATATATATATATATATATATATATATATATATATATATATATATATATATATATAAGTTCTGGTGTGATTGGCAGCTCTAAGTGTGATTGTGTGGTTAAATATGAGCTATTGATCTTGCTTAAATTAACGTCCAGATTACCAATTTTTTATTTTTATTTTTATTTTTATTTTTTACAAATGCGGTGGTAATTTGGTAATTTTTGCATATAGGTCAAATTTAAGATGTGTGAATTTTGTGCGTAAAGTGCGTGAGTTTTGTGCTGAAGGTGCGTGGGGATTATGCTTAAGGTGCGTGGGTTGTGAGTTTAATGTGAGTAGTTGTTGAAACTTAAGGTGCATGAGTTTTGTGTTTAAGGTGCGTGAGTTGTGTGCTTAATGTGCGTGATTCGTATGCTTATCATATGTGTCAGTGCTATAAACTGAAGATGCGCGAAGTTAATACTTAAAGTTCGTCATTTTAACACTTAAGATACGTGGATTATGTGCTTCATGTGAGCCATTTTAAAATCTTAGGTGCGTAATTTGTATTTTTTAGGTATTTTGTTGTGTGCTTAAGGTGCGTGATTTATGTACTTGATTGAATTGTGTTCTTAAGGTGCTTTGTTTGTGTGCTTAAGGAGTTAAGGTGTGTAGTGATTTGTATATTTAAAGTGAGCTATTTTAATGCTTAAGGTGCGTCCAATCACACAATCGCACCGAAAACCATTCCCGCACCTGAAGCCTTCCCCCTCTCTCTCTCTCTCTCTCTCTCTCTCTCTCTCTCTATATATATATATATATATATATATATATATATATATATATATATATATCAGAGGTAGAAAATTAAAGATGATTCTAGCGGATAATATTCGTTGCATAAGAATCAGCATATATAGATTGTCATATCTATTATTACTGCAAAGCTACCTACAACTATAGGGATACAATTGAATTGAGTGAGTGAGCAGTTGCAGAGGCCATTGCTCCTGGATGGAGAACCGCCTTTATATGTGCATTACTTGGTACGTCATCTTCTTCATCCTCATAGTCTTCAATTTCCCAGAGAAACCTTAGCTTGCATATGCAGCATTAACAACATGGGTGGAAAATCAACAAGTACGTAATGAGTGAATATTGACACTTAGCTTTTGTTTTATCAGAAAGGCTTGGACTGCGCGTTCAAAGTAACCAGGTTAGCATATATGCATATTGTGATAGAATTGAAATTCACTATCTCCTAGAATGGATCTGCTTGAGAGTAATATTCCTCTGATCTGCTGCTTTAAAATCTCAAGCATTGATTTTCAAGCATTGATTAACACTGTACCATCCATATATGGCCTCCTCCAATTCCTAATTTTGAATTACCTCACAAAGTATATATATATGACAGTAATTAAGTCGAGATGAGAGATATGCTTGGTGGCCTAGGGAAGCTGAGTGATCTCTTCCTCAGAATATTGCAGTGTGTCTTTGCAGCTGCTTCCGCTGGAGTAATGGCTTCAGCTTCACGCTTCACAAGCTGCACCAGTTTTTGGTATGCTCGCATTTTATTAGTCCTTCACCTTTACGTAATGATTACTGTGGATGCATATATGCTTCACATTGATCAAGTTTACTGTTCAGTTTTGCTCATTCTATTATGTCTCCTTTGGAATAAGTATTATTATTAGTCTATTAATTTCCTACTATTAGTTCTGTTGTATCTTTTGATATTTAGTTGTTATACTCAATAGTATTCATTATTTTGTTAATAAACACAACAGATTACATACTACTTCTTTATAATTTAATGATGCCTATTTGATTCTTTCCCCGCTTACATGCATATATATATATATATATATATATATATATATATATATATATATATATACTGTGTATTTTCTTGTTCCATTCATGCTTATTGTGTTTGCCAAGTGCTATACGAAACTGTGTTTAATAATAAAATATATAAGCCTTGTTTGGTAAAATAATCAGCATATATGTAAGTTAATTTTGACTTTTTGATCACTATTAATTGTTTGTCTTGGTTAAAAAATCAAATAGAAGTGTTTGGTTAATTAATTTTTTGTAACTCCAAAATGTTAAAATTCAAAAAAAAATGCTCAAAACAACTTTTTCAATTAGCTTTTTGAGAAAAAAATTTATAGAAAACAACTATCAGCTAACGGCTAATTTACGAAACATTTTTCTATAATAGCTAATGTTATTAACTAGTTATACTCTCTGTTTAACCCAATCAGCTAATAACTAACAGCTATTAGCTGACAACCATTTTAACAAACATGGTCATAATTTCTATGCAAACCTATATATTGTGGTATTTTGAGAAACGAATTTAATTGAGTCCAGCTTTTGGTTTAATTAGACTGCCTTACTGCATATATATGGTTGCTCTTTAGTTCTTGTTACTCTGATCTCATATATTTATTTGTTATGCATACACACTCTGATCTATTTCAGGTGTTTGGCACTTGTAATGGGGGTTCTATTTTTTTGGAGTTTAACTCTTTGCTGCCTGGATCTTCATTCCATAATGCTAAGAAGGAGATGACATTCTGTTTTCCTTTTGGTCCTGATTTGTATTGGGGATTGGGTACTTCAATTCACTTATTTCCTTTATGCACGCACACATATTAATTACAGGTTCAATTCATGAATTTTGAAGCTTATTTATATAATATATATAATGCAGGTGATGAGTATTCTATCTCTTGGTGTTGCATGCGCATCTGCTTCTTTCTTGGATTTTCTATCCAAGTTTTCTATTTGCTCAAGGAGGTTCATGCCATGCAATATGTATGGTCTTTCAATTGCACTAGCATTTGTCGCTTGCTTCTTTATAGCAATTTCTGCTAGTGTTATGTTTAGGCTTGCAGCCTCGTCTTATTAGTTATAAGCTAAGTTGCTACGGACATTCTATGCTTTGTATTGTGAATATGGTACTGATAGCCCGCAACTGCAGTTTTGCGTTTCTCACTTTCAATTATATTAGCGTTTGTTTCATTTGCTTAGCTTCTGGAGTTTGGATTTAATTATTTTGCATTTGAGTTTATCTTTACCTTTGGTAAATGTTTCTAATACTTTAAATGGTTGAGTTAATTATTTTTAAGTTATTAAATTTCATTGTATTAAATCTCTGCGCACGGGTTCGACCCCTTGCTTTACACGCTAAATTACAATTGACTCGTGCACTTGCGATAACATATTAAAATTGCCCATCATATAATAACCATGATACTTGCTTGTGTATACATATTGTCTAACTTATGTTGCATGAACCACATTTCACTGTAACACCCCCGATTTTCATGCCATTTCAAAACTTAAATACGTATGGTAAAGTAAATAACATATATCATAAAACGTAAGCACAGCGGAAGTCTAATATAAAAACAGGGAAAACCAAGGAGTGTTATGCCACATTCACCTCAACGTGAATGCACAGGCAAATCTAAAACCATCAAACTATTTTTGTTCAACAACTGTGGCACACAGGCCAAAACACTAACTACATTGTTCAAGGGAGCTAAACTACCAACGGCTAATGCTCTCGCCATGTCTACTCAGGACCTGTAAAGCACATAAAGAAAGGGGACGACGCCCAGTCAGCGAATATTGCTAGTAACCCATCAATACGCGTTCAATAACATATATAGATAGTATAATACAAAATCATTTTCGAAACGGAATACAGTATAGATCAGTTCAAAGTCATAAAGAGAAGTCAACTTCAAAGATTCTATCTCACTCTCAAAAAGAACAAGGGGAATCAACACCCCAAGACAACATCTAAACATGAATAACAACAGTACAACTCAACACAGCTCAAGATATAATCTACTGATCACAAAGTAGAAAACATCGAGGCAAAGACAACAACAATAAACAAGTACAGCTCGAGGTGTATTCTACTGATCACAAAGTAGAATACCACTCGACATGCTCATCAGGAAAGGATAAACATACACACATTGGCAACTACCCCAGCTGCGAAAGAAGCCCCGGATTCAACTGTGAAACCCTAAAAACACGACTACGGGAACGATTCTACCCTAGTCACATGAAGGCGACCATATACAAAATACTACCGGCAATTCCTCAAGCTAGCTCGCCTCACCCCCGAACTGGTACCTACAGAGACAATCAAAATCGAGAAATTCAAAATATGCCTCGACCTCGAGAACCAAAAGGCCCTCACCATATGAAAACCAAGAACTCTCAAAGAAGCCTATGACAAGGCATTCCAACTACAAAAAATACCGGGAAAACCACAGGAAACACGCCCGGGACCCAAAAGGAAATTCGAAGGAAACCTCGCAGACCCCCTCCGGGAGCCAAAAACCGCTAAGGCCACCCCGCCCCACAAGGCCGTAACACCAGCCACTCAAGGAAGGATCCTTACCATAAGCATAGCCAAAATCGGAGATAGCAACGTAGTCTCCGAAACCTTCCTCGTACACGCCACCCACGCCACTGTACTATTTGACTCAGGGGCTACCAACTCGTTTATAGCAACCGAATTCGCCACCCAACTCATTCTTAACACCAACACATAGATGGGGTGTGACACCCCAAAATCCAAATTCAATTAACGGATTAATTGAGTAATTAATCCTATTTCAATTAGTGAATTAATTCCTAAAATCCTGAAATTCAATACTTGAGGACTAGTATTTGACTAGTCAATTCCAAAGTCAAAGTTGTACCTTGAGCTTTTAAGGGAGTTCCCTTGTTCCTTACATTTCCTAATGTTAGTAAGAGCATTCTTGACCTTTCACCTAGTGTTAGTATTGTAACCTAACCTAGTAGACATCTTCACTCTATCCCTTACACTTTCTAAAAAAAAAAAATTAAGCTCTACCTTCTCTTAAAAAGGTGAGTAGCTTTTCTTCCAAGCCAAGTTGAGACCTTGCCAAGACTTCAAGAGTTGCTTCCAAGACTCAACCTTTCTTATATTTGGGCATCTAGGAGGGTAAGATCTAAGTCCATCTTGTGTTTTTGGTTTCATCTTAGGTGTCTTTTCTTAAAGGTAGGATCTTTATGATCTTTTTGGTTTGTGTTTGAAGTGGGTTTGGAAGGTGAGCCTTGAGAAGAGCTTGTTAAGGTGTAAAGTGAAGTCCTTTAGTTTACAAGAGGTAATCGATGCTTTACAAAACCTATAAAGTGAAGTGTAGGAGGCCCACCCGCCGCCCACCCGTGGGGTACACAAGGTGGGAGGCCTGTACCCGCGGGGGGAACCGCGGGTAGAAGCCTACCCGTGGGTCCACCCGCAGGTACACAAGTGGAGTTGTTTGGGGGATTTGTTCCCCGTGATTCTTTTGACTCGGTATTTGGTCTTTTGACTTCCCGTTGTTCTTTTGTGGAACTATTTGTGTGTCTTCTTGATGTTTTGTATATCTAGAACTATGTGGTAGGTATCGTGCTAAGTGTTCAACATTGTGTTTCATTAAACCGTGATGTGTCTTGTGTGTTCCTCGGAACTACCTTTGGTTTATCCATTTGATAAGAATGCTAGTTTGGTGTCTAAATGCTAGCGTGTGACTTGTTTGTACCTTCCGATGGGTTGATGATAACTTGTGTTATTCATCATTGTTGTTGTTGGGCTGTGACCCATTCCTTGATTGAGTATGTTTCATACCTCCGTTGTGATCCGTTGATTGATTCTTGTTAAGGTGTGATGCGTGTGTGGCTTTACCTGGATTGCACAGTTGTATGGGACACTAGTCACCAAGGTATTGCAGCGGCCCTCATGGTGGCCGTGACGTGATTATGGAGTTGTGACCCGTGTGTCAGGTTCACGTATTTTCTTGGGAAGGCTTGTGTCGCCGTGTGTGTGTACGGTACCTTGTGTACTATGAAATTGGTGGCTTTGTTGGTGGTTTTTTGGTAGGGGACAACAGTCCCAGGAGGGAAAAGGTTGGACTAAGAAGTACAGGGGTCCTGTAGGTAAAGGTTGGAAAGAAGATACAAGGTTGTGGGTAGCCACAAGGTTAGAACCGGGCATAAGGCAGGCATATCAACTTGTGATGGGTGATGTCACGAGGGCTATTGTAGCCACTGTGGTGAGTTCTTATCTTGTGACGTGTGTAGTCACAAAGGCATGTGCTACTGGTTGTGTGAGTCTTATTCTTTTGCGTTGTACTTGTCGGGTTTTGATCTATTGAGTGATGATAGACCATGCCTTGACTCTTTTGTGAGTCGTGTTGTTCTTGTGGTCTTGGGATGTGTTCCCGTGTGTTGTTGTTGAGAGTGTTGAATCTTACGTTAGTTTTTACTCTTAGTTTTGTACTTATATACTTATGTATTCCGTTTCGAAAATGTTTTACAACTTATACCTTATTTATGTATGTTATTTCACATGTATTGGTGGCTTACCAGCTTTATTCGCTGACCGGGCGTCGTCCCATGGTTATTTTTGATCTTTCAGGTGATGCCTAGACGAGAGCGCAGTCTAGTACCCGATAGCTTAGCTCCTTCCGTTTGTTTTATGACCTGTGTGCCTATCTAGTTGTAGACTTGTGAGATTAGGGATAGTTGTATACCATGCAGATTTGGCCGTAGCATTCATCTTTGTTGATGGGCGTGGCATAACACCCTTTGACTTGGATTTATGTTTATCCAGTTATCTTTTAATCTTCCGATGTGTTAGTTGTTTAGTTGTGTTATCTGCATGTTTTAAGGTTTTTAATAGCCTGATTTAGGGGGTGTTACAGTTGGTATCAGAGCCTAGGTTTGAGCCTAGGAGGGTTAAGTCTAGACTTTCTTAGTGGCTAAGTGTGGTTTGAGACTTTAAAGCGACCTTAAGAATCTAGGTGTTAGGCTTAGGACTCTTAGGACGCGTAGTGAGCTGTGTGTTGCTTTTAGATTGTTTTGCTTACTTGTTGTTTTCTGTTGTGCTTCTTGTGCTTTGTTTTCCTGTTTGCTTTGGTTCTCTTTAGTTAAGGCACCAGGTGAGGGTGCGGGTCCTAAGTTTCCTTCCATCACCATGCTGTTGCTGAAGAAGTTAAGGATGGCACCATCGAAACGTCGTGCAAGGTCTTCTGAAGCAGTCACCAACAAGCAGCTAGCTCAAAAGCCCCCATCAGCTGACGCAGATCACCCAGAAGCTGAGCAATGCCCTCCTCAGTATGGGAATCGGGACATAGTGCGCCAAGTTTCAAGTTTCCGTCCACAGATCTTCGACGGTGAAGAAAACCCCGCAGTGCTGGATGAGTGAATCCGAATGTTCGACAAGATCTTCGAAGTTGTGGTTTGCTGGAGAATCTCAAGGTGGAGCTGGCTACGTTCTACCTTCGGCAAGAAGCGGACACGTGGTGGATGCTTGAAAGGCCAGTTTGTAGACAAGACCCGGAGTTCAGTTGGGAAGACCTGAAGGTGAAGCTACGTGAGTGGTTCTATCTTGCTAGTGTCAAGGAGGCCTACCTCTGTGCGCCCGACCCCTACCGAGTTCAGCCAATTCATAAAGGAATCCGGGAGATCCGTAAGAGGAAGCTTGATAGAAGTGTTACACCTGTGGTTGAGAGTTTGATGGCTACCGGTGCTGAATCAACAAGAAGTTTTCAAAGAGATGGCTCAAAGTAGAA